AGTGAGTGAAGGCAAATGTTTATTAATCCATGTGATTAATCCAGCATGCTAAGGAAGGTTCTTCATGGAATCAAAACTTGTGTGGTTTTGACGCAATACACATGGATTAGAAAACACAGTTGCATTCACTTGCCAGTGGCCCCCTTTGCTTTGCTAGAGTTGTATTCTTTGGAGCCTGATAGGAACAAAAGAGAAAGCATTTATATGAGGACTAGCAGCACAGGCACTTTGACAAATGCCTTCTGCCCCACCCCTCTGCAAGACGCTTCCTGAATTTCCCAAGAACTAAGCCCTGGGTTGGTATTTGCATCATTTCCCCCACAAAAGCCAAACAATTAGAAATTGCTCCCTCCCCAAGTACAGATTTATGTCAACCCATGAAAAGTGGTTTTTACCAAGGGATGGATGGACAGCAAATCCCACCCCAAGTTCTTTGCAAGAAAATAGGGACAATGGTACAGAAGTTCTGTTCGAGGTTCCAGTGGGAACCACCATTTCTTCATGAGGGTGAGTAACCTGAGAGAGTCCTGGCAGAGTCTGAGAGTTTTCTCACAAGTTTCAGTGTGAGAGGAATGGGAGCCTTTGAATGTGGCAAATAAAGAGCAAGAACGCTTCAGGGAAACTCGAGGGAGTTACCCGGGCAAGGCCTCAGTCAGCTAGACTGTGATTCTAAGAGCTGCCATGAGACCTGTCTAAACAAACTAAGACATGTTGAAGCCATTTCATCTCTTCTTGTTGTACTTGGAAGGAGCAAAAATGAGTCCTCTCCAAGAAGCCTCTGTGGTCTGTGGTGCAGGGGTCTCCGAAGTTGTGGAGACCTTTCCACACAATGGGTTGTGCTGAGGCTGTTGTCAGTGCTGCAGAATGGTAATGTGCAGTGGTAACGCCAGAGACCTTCCGAAAGCACATTTAGGGATGCGGGAAGCACTTGACTCTCAGCTCTAGACAGAAAGAATCGTGGCTCCCAAGTGAAATTGGGGGAGTGCAAGAGAGCAAGATCCCCGGTCTCCTTGTTACCTTCCTGTCCCACCCACCCCTCCCCATAATTCTCCAAGAGATGATTCCTGACCCTACTGCAAAGACGGAGGGCAAGCGGCAGACCTCCCAACCAACGTGCTGAGATCACCTGGTTGTTTTCAATCGATGTAGTTCATTTTAAAGACTCAAAGTTTATGAGGCCTCCCTGTTAGAAACTATTCTACTCTCCCTTTCCTTTTCTAAGGTTCCCTCCAGTACCCGGCACACTGCTTGGTGCAGAGTCAGCATTTCATAAATATTTCTTCAACTGTATCACAGACTTCATTACCAGCCAGCTACTTTGTCCTTCAGGAAAATTCTTAATCTCCCTATTAAATTACAAGATCTTTAAGAACAGTCACCCTGATGAATTCATTTGTGTGTCCCCCAGCACCCAGCGGAGCACCCAGAACGTACGAGGTTGTTAGAAAGTGATGGTGGCATCTGTGGTCTGGGGCATAATCTGCTCAGGTGCAATCTTGTCATGCAGGTCTCTGGAGAGCAAGGTTTGTGTCTGTGTGAGTGTGCACGCATTCACATATGCATGCACGCTTACGAGTGTGCAGTCTGCAATGCATTACACCCATCTTGGTGTATATGTCTGCCTCTGAAAGGAACACAGCTAAGGAAGATAAACTTTGGCTGGTCATCAATACTCCCCTCTGAAAAAGATCATGTCTATAACAATCTGCTAACTCACTCATCGGTTGATTGAAACATATTTTAAAATGGAGACTAGATGATCCAAGCTCCTCCCCTTTTTGCTTTATAGCAGAGGAGACTGATCAGAGAGGTTAAGCAGCTGATGCAAGGTCACACAGACAATGACTGAGCCAGGGTCTCACTTCCCCTTCCGACCCCAAGGCTCAGCACACTACTCTGAGCTCTGTGACGCTAGAAGAAAATTTTTTATTCCAATGTTACCAAGACATCCTAGTTGTTAAACCAAATGAACATTCCCTGTACATTTCTTATTTGTCTGTCTTTAGTATTTGCTGTCAACTAGCCTTTCCATTTTTCGAAACCCATGGCCTCCTCTGAATGCTGTAATAGTGATGCTAACGATTACTGGGCATGTACTATGAGCCAGGCACCATTCCAAGAACTTTATGTTGTGACAGTAATCCCTCACATTAAACTCTAGGAGTTCTATATATTATTATTTCTAATTTAACTTAGGGAAACTAAAGAGAAGTTCAATAACTTGCCCAAGGTCAGACCAGTAGTCAGTGGTTGCCTTGGAATTCAATATCAAAAATCTAATAGCAGACTGGGGACCTTTTTTTTAGATTTAAAAATTTTGTTTTTACTGTCAACACTATTATAGATGTTCCTCATTTCAGACTGGGCACTTCTAACTACAGTGTCTCTTGTTAGCTCTTGCCTTTCTCACTGTTCTAGGCTACACGCCTTTTCAGCTTCTCTCCTTTTCATCCTCCTTAAATATTAATTCTCTGAGTTCCATTCCCAGCCTTCATATCTTCTCCTCTCTCTTGATCTTCTCATCTACTCCCAAGACTTGCTTATGACCTCCTTAAAACTCCATAACTTTTTCTCCAGCTCAAGATTTATTCTAAATCATGCATGAGCACACACACACATAGGAGGTCTGTCATGAAAAAGTCCAGCTGTTGTTAATATAACGAGAACAGTTTGCACAACACCCATGTAACCTGGCAGCCAAGGAGAGTGGACTGGAATGCACATGCATGAACAATGACAACTTCACTGTACTAGTCAGTGGGGGCGGTAGATGCCATTGAGTGAGCACGTGTCCTGTGTGGTCACCGCATTCAAAATGACTGAGTGAGTAGAGCAATGACTCTGCATAAAATTTTGTATTAAGCTTCAACATTCCTCTGTGGAAACTATTTAGATGATTCAAAAGTCCACAGCTATGGGCAACTGATGATTGGCCGCTTCATCATGACAACACACACGCTCATGCATCACGTCTCATGCAGAGTTTTTTGGTGAAACATCAAATCTCCCAGATGACTTAGCGTCCTACAGCCCAGATTTTGTTCCCTGAGACTTCTAGCTTTTCCCAAAATTAAAACCACCTTTGAAAGGGAAGGGATTTAAGACTGTTGATGAGATTCAGGAAAATATGACAGGGCAGCTGATGGTAATTGGGAGAACTGTGTGAGGACTGAGGTGTCGTTGTTCTATGTAGAATGTTCTTGTATCTTGTCTCTTCTTCAATCAATGTCTCTATTTTTCATATTACATGGCTGGATGCCTTCTGAACAGACCTCCCATATACACCCATTTTAATATCTGTGTCTATTCAGGTCCATTAGACAGAACAGTCTCCTTTGCTAACTTCTGATCAGCTGATAAGAAATTAAGCTGAACTTTATAATATTCCATTTTCTTTGGTTTTAATGCCATTTGTATTTGGTTTATTTAAAACAAAAAGAGAACTAAATAAAATCCACTTGTAAATGCTCAAAAAAAACAAAAAGAGCAATCTAATTCTTTCTTAATTTTTTTTGAGCAAACATATATTTGTTGCTTTGAACCAAGTGTTACGAGAGGAATGCACCACCTGTCTGCCTAAGGCAAGGTCCCAGTTGCTCAGGAAGCCGGTCAGAACTTCCAAAACTCCACTGACCACTGTCATCACAGTGAGCCTGGCATCTGACTGCATGGTCCCAGCCAGGAGAGGAATAGCAAGGACTGACACTCCACTGACAATGGAACAACAGAGTCATCCTTGACCAAAACTCCAACAAGTTTCAAAAGGGATCAGTTTTTAATTCTTTCATTGGCCTGTTGGACAGGATGTCCCACCATTCATTTTCAGATAAAATCAGATGGTAAAGGTGTCCACGGACTAAACATGGGGCAGATCGGAACAGGGGTGCAAAGAAGACTTTCCCCTGTATTCTTCTTTATATTTCTGGACTTTGAGCCACACGAATATATTATTCCTCTCAATTTCCAAATTTGGGGGAAGGAAGAAAGAAGAGTTTGAGTGGTACCACTGTGTGTTTCTCAAAAGAGCCCATTAAAGTTGTATTACTCCAGAGCTTTTAGATTATCATAAAAGTCAAAAAACCTTTTAGTGGCTCTGATATCTGCACACATGCCACCAACTCATTAACGTATAAATGCATCCTAAAATAATTCAGCAGCCAAGCAAAAGTATAACATTCATCTGCTTTATCAGTTGCCCTAAACACCTAATTTTCTCATAGGTGAGAAATTAGACATGTAAATTCAGCCACTCTTTCAGGTCAGTGAGGTAGTCTAAGGTGGTCATAATAGTGTATGATGCCAGCATTTTATAAAACATAACTAATGTTACCACGTATTATTTTGGCTTGACACAAAGTGACACTTTTTGCTTGCTCCATATTAATCTATTTTGGGAAATATCCCTCCCATTTTTTGCTCCTTCGCCTTCCACATGCACCTACATTTTGTGTAATTTAAATGCAGCTTGTCAGCGTTAAATGCAAGGGTAGCCAAAGTGCACCGGTGTGCTTCATTGCCTCAAGCTGCCTGATTGTTCCAGGAATGAACATCAGACCCAAGTTTGGGCAAACAAGAGTCCTTGGCTAGGAGGTGGGGACTGTTACAATTAGAAAGCAAAAGAGAGTTTCTTTACTTTCAAAATCATAGGCCTTAAGAATCATATAAGCCTGTGCCTGCTAAGACCCATTATTGCTATTTATTCTGAAAAGAACCCTGCCACTTCATGAGAATTAAAAAAAGTCAACAAGGAGATTTTTTTTAAAAGAAAAAGGGAGAGAATCATGATAACATTGGTGGATCCTGGACTGCATGCTTTGAGCCAGTTCACTCCTCTGATTTACAAACTTCATAAGCCAATGAGTTCTCTCTTTTATTGCTGTTTTGAAACACAATTCAAGTGTTCCTCAATAAAGTCCTTATACTTTTTACCTGCACATATTCCTAGTTTCTTTAGAAACTTATTTTCTAGAATTTTTTATTGGGATTATTTCTTAATTTACCTGGAAAATGAGGAACACCAAGATGGCTAAGTTTGAGGGATTCAGAGAAATTCCTCGTGTGAGCAGCCACTCTGGAGCAGGGCGAGGCAGTTCTTTCACGGCGAGGGGCGGGCTGTGAGATCAAGGAAAACGCACGAGAGAAAATCAGGTCCGGTGCTCCAAAAATCATCCATGTGCCCTGCCGTTCTTGCTCACCTCAATGAATGACATTTTGAAAGTATTCCCCTTTTTATTTTTAAAATGAAACAATGCTAAAACAACTGCAATTGCCTTCAGTTATCTATACCTGCACATCCTTCCCATATATTTCATTAAAGTGGATAATTAAAATTATCTGTTCCTCCAACAAATTTTTATTACATTACATTATGTGCCAGACATTGTTCCAAAAGCAGGATACAGTAGATGAAGTCTCCGCCATCATGAAACTGACATTCTAGTGCAGGTGACAGAAAAATAAATGCATCTATAATACATTAGAGGGTTATTTTTCTATGGCTAAGGGGAAACATGAGACAAAGTAGGAGGAGTAGATAAATGCTTAGGGTGGTGTACAAATTTATGTACAGAAATGAGACGGCTGTACGGACAGGGCGACATTGAAGCAGAGATTGGAAAACCGAGGGGGATATGTGACTGCCTGGGGGAGGGGCGTTCCAAGTGCAGCCAGTGTGTCAGAAGGACAGACAGGGTACAGGACAGGGGGTCAGAAGATTGCGGGGCCATGGGGGTCTCAAATTGGGCTTTGCCACCTTGAAATAACCAAACCCAAAAACAGAGAGAAGACATACAGAGGTACTGAACAATTAATATGAAATAAAGTCATAAATAAAGACAGTTGATTTCATTAAAAACAACTCAGCAAACATGAACTCAGTTGCAAATGCCCATTAGTGTGTGTGTGTACGATTTTATTATTTAGATATGATTGGATATTATTGTTTACATATTGGGTATAATTTTACATAGGGTATTATTTTTATATTTTGTGTTTAGGGTGCTGTTAACCTGCTGAGTTTATAGGAGATCAAGCCACCCGTGCATGAGGGGTCCAGTCCTACCTGAGGGGTGCGGTGTTTATCCTGCCGACCCCACAGCCATCCCACCCGTTCCTGAGGAAAGGTTTGTATCTCAAGCCAGAATCTTCAAACCGAGTGAGAGGGACTGGATGGAAATCAGAGTTAGAACTGTCCCTGTGCTGTGACTGCGGACTACGGTGGCCAGAGAGGCAGCAGAGGTGAGGCCTGGGGAGACACACACCTCTTCAAAGGCAGAAGTAGAGCTGGAAACAGTGGCCTGGGCTGTACCAGTGACAGTGTAGCCTTTTAACTAAGGAAGCGTCAGAGGTGTACTTTGTAAGTCTTAACCGCTGCAGCATTTTCTTTATTTCAACATTTTGTTGACCTCAAGTGAAGCTTTTTTGAGAATTATCTTAGATGAGCTAAGAGAAATGAAAGGGAGTGACTTTCTAAAATTGTGAAGGGACACAAGCAGTGATGATCATGAGAACCTACAAGGCCACTCTGCCTCCTGCTGTCCTTTTCACCCCCAGATCCACCCTCACCTGAATCCCGTCAGCCCCTCCCTCTCAGAATCCTCCTCAGTCCTGCTCAGCCAGTCCACCCGCTTGCACATCACCTCAGTGAAGCTCTCTTCACATTCACTTTCCCAAACCCAATCTAATAATATCATAGTAAATATGGCCCTCGCCTTCTTAACTGTGTTCAGTGGCTTCCCATCATTTAAAGAATGGTTCTCAAACTTTACCGCGCATAAAAATCACCTGGGGGCATGTTAAAATGCAGATTTTGTTTCAAGAAGTTGAGGGTGGCGCCCAGGAACCTGCATGGCTAACAAATATCGCAGGGGACTGATGCAAGTGGTAAGTAGATTCCTGTCACTCAAAGTGTGTCCATGGACCAGCGTTGCTAACATCACCTGGGAGCTTGTGAGACATGGAGATTCTCAGCTCCACGTTGGGCCTACGAAATCAGGATCTGAATCTTAACAAGGTTTCCAGATTATCTGTACGCGTGTTAAAGACACAGACCACACTTGGATCTGAAGAAGGAAATATAGAATCTTCGTGGTATGGGGCTGCTCATACCCATCATCTATCTATCTCTCCCCCCATCTCAAGACTCTGTGACCCAGGTATGACAAGCCGGGGAAGCCGAGGCACTGAACGGCTGCAGCAGTGACCTCATCTTCTCCATTGTGCTCATCCCCGTGACCAGCACAGTTGCTACTAAAAACATGCTGCCTTCTTGACACGTGAGGGTTAATTTATATTTTAAAACACATTTGGAAATGCAGTATTCCACGCAAGTTCTACCTTTCCTCAAGGTAAGATCTAGCTAAAATGGAAAAGCAGGAATGAAGAATAAACTGTCAGGGTCATAAGCCCAGATATATTTTACACCTAAAAGCACAGAACATGTCGTCACTGGACAGCCCAAGGGGGTACTTAGCTCTGTCCGTGAAGTCCTTGCTGTTCTCAGCTGATTTACTGCCTGAAGTCAAACCCCTGCTATATATATTAAAGCACAGCCCCCACCTTTTTTGTTTAAGGAGAGCAAACTTTCACCACAAAGATACAAGAACAGTAAATATTGATCTTCTTGATGGATGGTGCACCTCACGCCACCGGCCACTCAAGCATCTGCTCATGACCACCCAGCCCTCCCGCTTGTGGGGAAATAATGCCAAGTGGTCTCCTGTACTAGCGGCTGCCAATTGTAAATATTTGAAAGAAATAAATTTCTCTGAATGAAAAGCACCTTTCTTTGTTTTCTCACCCCTTCTCCTCCCAAGTCGTGTTGATTTTGGGGCTGTGCACACTGCCAGCACCTGTACTTTTCAATTGTTTGCTTGCCAAGATCACTGTGGTTTTCTTGCTTGATTTCGGGAGCCATTGTAAGCACAGTAGCCAATGAAGGTATATTTTCTTTCTCTCTTGGCAGTCTGTAGGGGAAGCATCAGCCTCAGGACACCTACCAGTGACTGTAATTAGAGGACATGGAAAGAGAGAAGCAGAAATTGGAACTCCTCTGTCTAACTACTGCCCCCACGTGACAATGAACATGGACCACCACTGCAGACCAAAGAGCCTCATTGTTTGGCAGAAAGTTGTAATCATGGTTTTACTGAAATCCAGAGCCATTCTTTAACTGAACATAAAGACCTGCAATAAGAAACAAGAATGGAATTTCGAGAATGGAAACTCAAATTAATTGACAACAGCCCCTGAGACTATTACTCTTAAGTTCTAAATATTAAGATCGGATAAATCTATACTTTCTCCTCCATGAAGCACTACCCACCACTCGATGAAGTAGGATCATGCCTTGTGTGATCTTCATCACTGCTCTTCCTCTCTTCCTGCTGAGCTATGTGATGATACAGCATTAGAATGAAATCGACCGAAGCCAGTCATTGCGACCTGATCAGTGTAGACAGCAAACTGGGTACAGGGACAAATGATCTGTGTGTAACTGCAGGGGTGTCCAAACTTTTGGCGTCTCTGGGCCACACTGGAAGAAGAAGAGTCGTCCTGGGCCACATATTAGTTTATAAATTTGTGTTGGGCCCCATTCACAACTGTCCTGGGCCACATGCAGCCCACAAGCCATGGGTTGGACACCCCTGCTAGATCCTTCTGTCACCTGAAACAGGTGACTCTGTGACTTCTCTTCACAGAGTCACAACCTTTATTTCCACCACTGGGGAGGACATGTGCTACTTTTCAAACCCTATATACTTTTATTCTAATTTCAGAAACAAGTGTTTGGGTATAGGGAACCATTTCACATGGCATGGGAATGTAGTCAAGCCCCCACTTGGAAAGGCCAGTGTGTGTGGGGAGCGAGGTCCCAGCACACAAGAGCCATGCTCACGGAGAGGTTCTCCTGTGGGGAATCAGGCCTGCATTGTACCTAGGCTGCTATGAGACTTGCTTTTGCTAAAACTCCTGCACCCTGGATTGAGACAGAAAATGTTTACTGCATATCTCTAAAGTAACTTCCTAAAGTCTGTGCTAAACCTCCCCCAAGTATGGAGTGTAACCAGTTCAACCACTTTTCCCCTTGATCTGTAACATCCTTCTCTTTGATGTAATTAGCAACATCTTCTCCTTTGTTATCTGTAAAAGGTAATCACCTACAGTGAACCCTTGCATAGTAAATGAGGACCATCCTCAATGCAATGTACCCAGAAAAGCAATGAAAACTTGTCCAGGCAGGGGCTGGGGCCCTCTGTCTCACTGAGAGAGCCGTCATGCCGTCCCTTTTCCCCACAGGACTTCTGTAGTCCGTGTGTATTTGTCTCTCGTGGCCGCAACACACAGACCCTGCTGGCCAGGGTCTGCATCATTTAGGTGTCCACATGATTCCAAATCTTGATCCATGTGGTTTAAGTGAGTCTCGCCACCACCACCCCCCGACCTCATACTTCAAAGCTAAAGCAAAATGCCCAGATCTGAGCACATCAGCCACAATCTGGCTACACGGATTGCAGTTCAGAAAAACAGAGAAATAATGAGATTTTGTTAGACTTCTGGAACCAAGGTTTAACTCTAAGAGATGGCTCAGCCTGAGGTCACCACAGCCATTTGACTGGCATGAGGCAAGGACCTGTGGGCTTTGAATTCGTTTTCTGCTAAGAGAGCTAGAGCTGGGGGAACTGCACTCTCTTGCCTGTTCTGCCCGGTATGCAGAGACCTGCATGTGTGATATGAGGGTTCAAAATGCAGTGCGTGGTCATGGAGCAGTTCATTTCACTCTGGGTAAAACTGACTGGTTCTGATAAAGATGGTATTGATAAGGATGAGGCCCCCATTCCCTTAGTCAGCAACATTCCCCAACCAGCTTAGCCAAAAAAAACCCCTACCTAACTTATCTCCAAAATGAAAGAGACAATTCTTGCTACAGAAACAACTAAAATAAAGAGGCATTTTGGTTTTGTCAGTGTATCTATGTAGTGAACCATAAGTACATACGGGGCTGAAACCAGCCTCCCCAGCAGCACCGAATTAGGCAGGTCTCCACGGAGTTGTATAACAAGTGTTTTGAATTATAGGAAAACATTAAGTCACCTTCAGTTCCTGTAAGCCCT